TATCTTATCTGCAAGATAACATGGCCAGATACAGTTGGTAGACTGCCTTAGTTGGCAGTCTTTATCTTCCGACACTGAATATGTCATTCCACTCTCTTCTAGCCTGTAGGTGCTGCTGAGAAATCTGCTGTCAGCATAGTGAGGGTCCTTTTTAGGTTATGTTCTTTCCCCTCTCTGGCTTCTTTTAAGATTCTTTATCATTGATTTTTTAGTTTCATTATAATGTGTCTTGGGGAAGGTCTTTCTGCATTGAGATAATGGGGTGATCTATTAGCTCTGTGGACTTATATGTCCCAGTTTCCCCAGGTTTGAGTTCTCAGCTATCATTTCTTTAAATAAACTCTGTCCCCTTCTCCCTCTCTTCCTTTTCTGGAAGCCTTGCTTATTCTGATACTTGTCTTACTCTGATAGTTGTCTTTTTTTATCCAATCCCATAGCTCATGTACTTTCTTAGCTCTTATTTAATCTCTATTCTTTCATCTCTTCTGTGTTATTCCAAAATTCCTTTACCCCGAGTCATGTTTTCTTCTGTCTGGTCTGCCCTGCTACAGCTGCTCTCTACTATAGTCTTTACCTCATTAAACAAATTCTTCAGCTCCAGAATTTGTTTGGTTCTCTTTTACGGAACAGAACTCATTTTGTTCATATGTTTTATTCCTGATTTCAATGAATTGCCTTTGACTTTTCTTGTAACTCATGGAGTTTATTCATAACTGCTATTCTGAATTCTTTATCAGTTAGATTGCAATATTCTGTGCCTTTGAGCTTGTTTGCTAGAGAAGTGTCATTTTCTTTCTGTGATGCCATATTTCCTTGATTTTTCACATTCCTTGTAGTTATGTACTGCTGCTTTTGCATTTGAAGTAGCAGACACCTCCTTAATTCTGTGCTAACTGCTTTCAGCAGATGGTTTTACGTTCTGTGGTATATTATTACTGAGTTATTCCTCATGTTTGTGAGGTATACCTGTCCACTCTTCTTGCTCTCTCTTGGGGCCAAATTTTTAAGCTTCTGTGTCATCTCTGGATGTTACAATTCACCAGGCTGCCTCTTGGAAACAGCATTCTAGAAGAACTATTTATAGCTAAGTTTTGTGGTTTTTTTCCCCTTGACCAATGACTTTCCAAGTGTGCTCCCTGTCTACCAGAGCTCGTTCTCACAGATGCATTTGGGAGCCTGCTCAAAGCTGGCAGCAGAGTCGGTGGAAGTGTGGGTTTAGCACTGTTTTGGGGGAGCCTGTGGACACAGTAAGGGAATCCCTGAGTGTGGTACTTCGAGAGACTGAGGATGAACTTCCCGTTGAGCTCAAACCCTTTGACACCATTTGAAATTTGGATCTGCCTCCTCCCAGCCACAGAACTCCCACCTTAGTACTCTGGGTACTGGCAGAGAAAAATGGGTTTCTCCAGCTGTGTTCCATCCGACTGGGACAGCTAGGAGCTTACTCACCACTTTCCTTTCCCCCCACAGGTCACCTCCTCCAAATACACCAGTCCATTCAGTGTTTCCTTGGGCAAGAGGCAGCAGCAGGAGAGTGTCTCTTACCGCCTCCACTGTAACCAACTTCTATTTTTCCTACTCCAGTGGTGTGCTGGAGTCTCCCCACAGGAAGTCTGGATTTCGGCAAGTTCTGTCTCATCCATGAGTACCTGCCCGGTGAGCACACATCCGATTTTTCCCTGACGGTGGCAAGAGAGGTGTAGGCAGTCGTGCTGGCTCCGTAGCCTGTATGGAGGTTTGTCTGTATCTCATGGGTGGCAGTGGTGGGCAAGCCTCCTCTCAGGTCCTTTGGAGTAGGTGTTAGGTCCCAAAAGACACACCAACAGGCTTTCATTTGTGTATGGGTATCTAACTAGGGGGACAAAAAGGCGGAATATCTTATACCACCAATGTTGCTGATGTCATCCTCTTCACTTCTGAGTTTATATGATCTCCCAGTTCAATGTCCCTTACGTATTACCTACAAAGTACTCCTGCGGGTATTAGAGAGTGAATGCAAACCCAAGTCATCTGGGAATGGTGAGTGGAGGGCATTATGAACTTGAAATTCCTTCAGCAGTCTTAATGTTTGTTTTAAACCGAACATTGCACTCTATCTGCATCTATTTTCACATTTTCCTAACTCATCCTAATCAAATCAAACTAATGCTCTAGAAAAATGTCCTAAAATGATTATATTACTTTACATACTTCAGCTTGAAGNAAAATGTCCTAAAATGATTATATTACTTTACATACTTCAGCTTGAAGCTTTTATTCTCTCAGTCTACCCTACACACCCCAATCTTTTAAGTCATCCTAAAATACTGGCTCAGGCCATTCTTCTATTCAAACTCCCAAAGACTAGCCATTACCTACTGGATAAGGTCCTGCTTAGAAAAGCATCTCCCTGGACAAGCCACATGCAGTCTTCTATAATGCGATCCAAATCCCGCTCTTTAAAATCCAACTCTCCTCTGTTCCTCAGTCTCAACCCTTTACTCTGGCCTGCCTGGCCTACATACCATTTCCTAAACACATTCACTGTGTAACTGCCTGGGTCATTCAACACCCTATACTGGGAATGACAATTGTGGGAATATCAAAAAGCACAAGAGACAGTCAGAGATCGTCTTCCATTTCTCATCACTCACTTGAATTCAACCCACCTTTCCAAGCCCAAGAGTACTTTTACCACCTCCATGAAGCCCTCCCTGGTATTTCCAGCCCACATTTTCATCTACTCTCCTCTACCCTATTTCAGTTCTTCAGAGGAGTACACACACTCAACCCTGTTTCCTTACTAACCATTTATGTCTTAACTCTGTGAAACCAAAGTTTAGTCTTCACATTCTCCTCAAAGTACTCCAAAGTCATGCAAATCCAATGGCCGTTTCTCAGTTCTCATCCTCACTTCAGTGCCTGACTTCTTGACACCCTCTCCTCCTTTATACTGCAAAATATTATATTCTCAAAGTTCTCTTAGCTGACAATTACTTCTGTCTCTCCTTCTTGCTGCTGTTCCTAAGTGGAAGTGTTTTCTATGTTCTGTTCTCTGTCCTCTCATTTCCCCATCCTGCCTCCGTCACAGTTCAAACAGGCATTCCTCAGTCTTCATTTCTAGCTCTGACCTCTCCTGAATTCTGCTTTTCCAACTGCCCAATCAATATCTAGATCTCAGTTATTTTAACCTACTAAACCAAAGAGGGTTTAATAGAAAATAAATCATTTTTTTAATAGTTTAGAGGGTAAAGGACTGCCTCAAAGTCACATAACTAGTCAAATGACAAAACTAGCTAATGAGACCCCAACCGGCTCTCCCAACTCCTTAACTAGTGCTTCATAACCCATGTGATACCTGTCCTAAGTGTCCTCTTCTCTTGTATTCCATCCCTACTCCTTTTCTCTGCTTTGTCAGTGATCTATTTTAGTAGAAAGAGTATTCCTTGTAAGTCCTTACATCTCTTTCCACCCTAGAGAACTAGGAAGAAGTAGGGAAAACCAATCTCTGAGGAATCTGAAGGACACTTATCCCTTGAACAAGGTCCCTTGGCCTCTCGAGTCCCCAGAAAACGGCAATAATAATTTTATTCCTCTTCCTACTCTGTGATTTCTGCACGAAAAAGAAGGTGCCCTTTCTCCTTTTCCATGCCAAGGGAGGATACTTCCAGCACTTCTAAGTTCCTCTGGCCCCAAACACCCTTACTTCTGTCTCCAGCAATTGCTGTATCTCAGCCTAGGGCATCCTCATAATACAACCTTCTCCTCTTCAACACCCAATCCCAGTTCTTGTTAGCACTTTAATGGCAGGTCTCTGCCATTTTCAAGAAATATTCCCTTATGAAGATCGGGTGTGTTGGCCGCAGTGGAGGTAAACACTGAAATGCTCTTCATGCCAATACTTTAACATGCACAGAGGGACTGACATTTATCAGAAGACTTGCATATCCACTATCCTCATTATAGTCCCATGAGGTAGGTGGAATCAGTATTCACAAATTATAGATGAGAAAACAGGGACAGAGAGGGTAAGGGACTGCCTCAAAGTCACATAACTAGTCAAATGACAAAACTAGCTAATGAGACCCCAACCAGCTCTCCCAAGTGTCCTCTTGTATTCCATCCCTACCCCTTTTCTCTGCTTTGCTTCTTACCTTTCATTTTCCCAGCCAGCTCATATATTTTTCTTGGTTCATCGGATCGTGTTTCCAAAGCTGTGAATAAACCACCTCGGCCCCAGTGACCAGAGTCATCTGACAGAAGAAGAAAATTTTCATTTTTAGAAGGCAAAGTCCAGTCCACAATTCAAAAACACAAAGGTATGCCAACTAGATTTGTAGAAGAATGATTTTTCCAAGGGAAGAAATACCTATGTAGCCTCCCAGGAAAATCATAGGTTGGACTTCTCAAATGTTTAGGTTTTATGGAATATACAAGACTATCACAACAGGAAGGTGGAGAGTAGATGTAACATAACAAGCACCACAAGCATTGGTAATCCAACAGCATATAATTCCCATTTTACAGGTAAGGAAGAAAAAAGGTTAAATGACTCATTTGACCTGTGACTAACATAGCTGGTTATTATCTTCTGTTTACAGTCACTCACTCACACTCCAAATATTTGTTAGCATGTAGCTCTAGGCACTAGTGTTACAGCAGTGGACAACAAATCCCTGCTCCTGTGAAGTTTATTTTCTAGTTCAATGAGACAATCATATAAACGAATACACGCATAATACGTCTGGGTGGTGATATGTGTAATAAAGTAAACGAAGGTAGGAAAAGGAGTAGAGAGTAACAGAGGTGTGGGGGTGGGGTCTGTTTTACATGAGGCACACCTCTCTGAGATACAGACATTTGAACAACAGTTACTGCGGCTATCTGAGGAAAGAGGGTTCCAGGCAGGAAGTAAAAAATGCAAAGATCACAGAAACAGGGGGAACATGCTTGTAGTTTTGCTTTTTCTCAAAAGGTTTGTCTTATATATGTTGCCTCCTTTCACCTTCTCAAAAAACTTGTGCAGAGAATAGGGAACTATCCAATTATATGCAACCAGGTAAATGAGAGCACCAAGGGTCAAATCTATCTATGTCTCTGGATTCTAAATTTGCCTTTTTATGACCACAGGACCTCACTGGCCCATCAGTCATATCTAGGTCAGGCTTCTGCCTCCTCCTCCCCAGTTCTTGGCACCATAAAGAACACGGCACCCACCCTGGGCCAGTACCACTTCTCCTACCTAGGCAGTGCACGATGACAGCATCCTCTGCCCCAGCCTGTGGGTGGGTGACATCACCGCTAACGTACTTGATGGCAGTTGAATCTGGATCTTCATAATCCAGCTGGGCAGACCTCTCGTCTTCCCTGTCCTCTGGTTCGCTCTCCTCAGAAGGCAGGCAGAAGGACTGGTAATTGTTGGACTCCCACCAGGCCATCCTTCAACCGGCCAGAGATAAAAGGAAATTAACCTGGTCTATCACAATTTCCCTTGGAGTGCACTTCATCCTGCCATTCACAAACAGCAAGTGCCCAGTGGAAATGCAATTAGACACTCACCCTGATTGCAGTTTTCTGCCTATTTGTAAATCAACCAGAAGTCTTACTGATTAGCCTAGTTGCCTCCTGACTATACTTCAATAATGAGCAGCCACTGGATGTCCCTGTTTTTAAGAACAAGATTAAGGTACTGTTCAAGTGAACTACTCTTTGTCAGACAGCAACAATAAAATCTTAGCATTTTCTTGCTTCAACTGAATGAGTCTCTCTACACACACAGGATTTTTCACACAAAAAAGTACACGGTTAGGGATAAGTTCAATCTTTAAAAAAATATTCTATTATCAGAAGGAGCTACCAGTTTTATAGAACCTTTCTGCAATTTTAAAGTGTTCAACTGTGGACTCAGTATACTCAGTGAGATTCCTTTAAGCATGACCCTCATCAGCTTTATGATAATAAATTCAAATAATACACACATACTTTTTCTCGTGTTCTGCTTCTTCCTTTTTCCTCTTCTTCTCCTCCATTAATCTCTTTCTCTTGGCTGCTGCTGCTTGTCTCTTCTTCCTTCTGTCCTCGAGTTCCTCTGGGCTCCAAATCCACTTCCTTTTCGTAGACCCCTCCGCAAGGCCTGGGAGGAGAACCTGTAGGAAGAATGAGATCAATAACCAGGAAGGGTGGTGGCTGTCTATCCTTTCATGAGTTTCATTCATCCTTAAAACACATTCTGTGTGAAAGCAACATGGCTAATATTTCACAAAACTGCATCGCCCTGCCCCCTTGTGTGGTGGGAAGTGGTGGCAAGACACTTCAATTTACTGTTCACATTACACATCTCACTGGCCCGGTGATTAAGATACTGTGCTCTAAACTCAAGCAAAGCACTCGCATGGTTGGTACAGCAGTACCTCATCTGATTAATTTCAATAGGATGAGGTACTTCAGAAAATNGATGAGGTACTTCAGAAAATCCTCCTCTAATATATAATTCTTTCTCAGAATATTTCAACATCACAATTATCTTAATGGTAGCTAGCACTTCATGAGCACATACTGAGTGCCACCATTCGTGACTGCCACCTTCTCTTAGTGACACTGGGGTCAAGTTAGCGGGAGTAGGATTTAGTATTTTGGTGATCCCTTCTGGGATGGCTAAGATGGACAGGGCTGCTTTCACCTGCATTAAATGGTAAAATACACTCTTCCTGTTAACGTTATTTATGCCGACTTTCACAGTTTTTATGCTAGAGTACAGTTAATTATACTTACATCTCAACAAATATATACTTATTTTTCAATAAACCACTCCCAGCATCATTTTTTGTTCTCTTAGGATGTGAATTTGGGAGAATTAATTCTTTTACATAAATGAATAATCCTTACACTGCTTTTATTTCTGAGTAGCCGGCCCTCTTGCATAGTTTTCTCCAAACGCTTTTTCTGAAGGTTCACCAGTTGCTCAAATGATTTTCTATCTTCTTTACTAGGCTCCTTGGAATAATCTTTACCTTCAAATAAGTACATATGGTTTTCTAAGAACATAAAACACAAAAGAGAATGTCAGATACTAGAGAAAAATGGATTAATTCTATTCAAAGCAAGAAAGTCAAAGTAGAGAACAGTTCATATTCTAAATGGGCTAAGACTAGCTTGTGAGGAAGCTACTGATTTTGGATCCCACGGTGCGGGGGGGAGGGGGGGTCTCACACATTTACTATTTAAAGAAGAGGGTGTGGCTAATGCCCTTTGGTCCTCCTCTAGCTGGTATGCAAGTCTCTGTTGGATACCTTCCACCCTGCTGAATCTTGGGCTCACTCATCACTGCTTCCACATTACTCTCCAGCATAGGTCTCACTGATATTAAGACCACTTAATAAAAAATAACTGAGAACATAATTTTTTTTATTCTGCACATACTTAATACTCAACTCTTTCTCCTCTTTTCTGTAATAAGGAACAAGTGGCAAATCTCTAAGAAAATGGAGAATCACAAAAAGAATTCCTTAGATTTCTAATGTTCTTTTCAGGTCTCATGAAGTATCTTTATGAGCCTCCCCACAATCCTGTTTTAACTAACCCCATAGAAGAAAGGGAGAAATGAAGCTCAAACAGGGATTAAGGGACTCCCCAGTTCTCACTACTAATAAATGAAGGCAGTAGGATTTTCACTCAAAAGCCACCATGCTCTTTTCAGGGCATTCTGGTGTCTGTAGAAGAACGGAGAATGAACAGGCCAGCAAATACTAATTATAGTAATAACAATGACAATAGTGTAATCTTGATAGTATTTTATGCTATTGGAACACTTTCGTCTCTATTATCACATTTAATTTTTCCACTATTTAAAAGAGTAAAGCAGACATTAATAGCACCATTTTATAGATGAGGACACAAAGGCTGAAAGTTTGGGTGATGTGCCAAGATCATGAATCAGTGATAAAGAGAAGTCATGACAAGCCAAGACCAGCAACCCAGAGAGGTGAGATAATGATTCTAAAGTGAAGCGTATTTAATAGCACATACTACCAAAGAATGTATTTTCACAGCATTATGAAATCAGCTTTAAGTATGTTTTCTCTAGAGAGTATGAAAGCAAAACATTTTCATTCTCAAGAGATCAATTGCTTCGCACTTGTACCCAAATCCAACCAGCTGTAATTCTAATTGGCATTTGCTAATTAAATCAGCAGGGGTCTTTCAATGAGGTGCTCTATCAACAAGTGGAAAAAAAAATAGAGCTGAGAAGTGTCAAATATGATCAACATATGTAGCTTCATATTGCATGCAATTCTCAACTTACAAACATGCTTTAAAAAAAAACCCTGGCATTCCAGATTAAAGCAACCCTGTTTTTTATTTGTTCTTGTTTCAAATTCATTTCTATTATTTTTAATCGTGCTCCCTGTTCTCACTTTGCAGCCAAGATGAGGCTGGAGACCACAGGTCTAGACCCTCATCTATGTCCTGCTAGTAGAATCATCTACCGCAGAGTGAACATGTACTCACTGATCAAAGACAAGATTCTAAATTTTAATACAAGTAGGAAATCTTTTCTGGCAGGGGCACTGACTGAAGATTATCTTTTTGGAAAACAGCAAAACTTTATTTTGTTCTAATAACATTAGGAAAATAACCTGAAGTTAATCTAGATGAGTACAGAAATGGGTGCAAGCTTCAATATTTCATGTAATCCAAGTATAACTTCAAAATAG